CCGCTCCATTTCTACATTTGCAAGAGTGAACACCTCATGTTCTCCAACTGAGAATGAGTAGCACATAAAACCTGCCTCTATACTTAAATGCCAAAACATATGCACAAAACAGAGATGTGATTGGATTAAAAATAACATCAGCATTAGCATTTTGGTGTGTAATGTCTGAGTGGCTACAACATAATTATCATTTGATTGGGTAATAAATGTATATACCCATCATCTTTCCATCATTATTAGTTAAATGATGCTCATTAAAGTAACCCTAAATGACATTTCCCCTTTTCAATTACCTTTCACCTGTGTATCAATTATTTAAATGGCTCCTTCATGGCATTTAGCCAGCTCCCTCCATCCAACCTTACCATCTGTTTATTCCACCTTTCACCTGTTTATTCCAGCTATGCATTTTTACTTATGAGCACACTTATCTTGCAGTTAGATCTTCTTTTCATTTTTAAAAAACCGTCCAATAGATCAGCCCCGCTTTCACTCTGGTTATTATTTCCATTTGGTTCTTATCTTCACTGTACAGCCACCTCTTCCAAAACACACCTCTCAGATATATCCTTTGTGAGAGACTTAATCTCTTCCAGGCTCTCCTTATTCACTCCAAGTGACTCCCAGCACATTTATGTTTGCTTTATGCGGATGTACCAGGATTCCTTACACACATCTTCTCTGCCCTGATCACTGACGCTCTCTGATTCCACATCTCCATGCCCTTTTAGTACAGAGGGATCACATCCATGTAGGAAGGCTACACTTTTTCAGAAACTCTAAAGGTAAGGGAGTTTAGGAAAGTCAGAGAGTCAGGCCAGCCTTCAGTGTCAAGGTAACAAGCATGCTGGCCTATGGCCATCTATGGTCAGGAGGATTATTTGTATCAGGCCATTACTTGCTACCACAGTTCAGCAACTTACACATTCTAGTCACATAACAGCCTTTAGAAAACTAAATGCTGAGTGTAGTATACTGCGCTGACTACAAATATTTTGTACCTCCTTCCATCAGCAAGTGGGATTACTCTACACCTTGAATCTGGGCTGGGCTGGTGATTTGCTTTGACCGATGGAATAGGATGGATGTGATACTATTGTAGTTGAGACTAAACCTCAAAAGGCCTTGCATCTTCCACTCCTGCTCCTTGTAATGCCACTGTCACATGAACAACCTGAGCTAGTCACCTTGAGGACCACGCACCAGGTGGTCAGCCAGTCCAGCTGAGGACCCAGACGTGTATGTGACCCCAGCCAACACCATGTGGAACAGGGATAAGTTGGACAAGCTAAGCCCAGCCTAGACTGCCAATCTACAGAATCAAATAGCCAAAAACTATAGTGGAAACAAACTGAAAGTCTAAAATAGGGTTTTACGTACATGAATTACAGTATTGAGAAGCTATGTAGCTCTACCCTTTATAAGCTTGTGACCCTGGGCAAGCTTTAAAATTTCTTCCCTTATAGAATAGAGATTATAGCCTTAGAGAATTGATCTGGGGATGCAATAAAAAACTTAAATCAGTGCCTAGCTCATCATAAATATCCAAACTGTTATTACTTATACATAGCTACTAAACTCATGTTATAGAAAATTTAACAGCATAGGAAAGGTCCATGATATTGTCAACTGAAAAGAATACTACAAAGTTGCATTTATAATTATAAACCTTCATTTACCAAAATGCTACTCTATATGTATATCTAGGAATAGAACAGGGCTATCTTCCCAGAAGTAGTTTGGGTAGTAGGAACATTTTTATATTTTCATTGTTTTTCTGTAGTTTCAACATTTCCTATAACAAAAATGTATTGGCTCTATAATTGGAAAAAATATTATTTCAAAAAAATTAAATGTTATATCTATAGACCAGCTAATTAATATCTTTCAGCTCCTTAAAAGCATTATGGAAACTTTTACGAAACCGTTACAGGTTTTGCACCTCATACTACGCTATCACTGCTCTTTCTGTTTTAGCCAAGTAGAGAAAAAAGATATGGAGAGTCAGAAAGAATACCCATTAACCCGAAAAATCTAAATACTAGAGAAAAAAATTAAGACCATCCCTTTGATTGGTTCTAAAATGCCCCAGGGTGTCACTCATCTTTTCTGCTTAGGCTACTGGCTCCCATCCTGGCCCTGCTGTTCTTCACTAAACCAGCACCTATTTGTCTCAGTTTAAATGTCACTTCCTCAGAGAGGCCTTCCAGGTTTCCCTAGTCATAACTGGCTTTCCAAACCTAACTTGGATTCCCCTATATAATATCCAGTAATTCACCCATGTTACTACATATAATTGAACTTTCTCTTTGCCATTGCCATTCTACCTGACTGCAAAGAAAAAAATGATTGAGACAGTTAACTTCAAGTAAAAGCCTCCCCTTTTACCTTTAACAATATAAGGAAGTGAAAAATGAGGGTCTGTATGCATATGTAGAAAATGCTTCCTATTCATTTTACCTTCTTAAAAGGTAAAAAGTGAACAATCACCAGCTCCAAAATACATATCCTTAAAAAACATTTAGAGAATAGTTTTAAAGTATAGTAATGTAACAGAACAGCTATAAATTAATTGATAAACTTATTATAAGTTTGAGGGAAAATAGTTTATAATTTATTTCTATATTTCAGTTACCAGCATAATTTGCTGTTTTTGCTTTTCTATAGTATAGTGAAATTTCTCATAGGGAATATTTAGAAGAAATACTTGCCTGCATTTACATAATCTACTTAAGAGTACACCACGCAAGTTTTATGGTTACTTTTACACCTTAATCACTGGTATTTTGGCTACTCAAGATGAAGCTCAATATATGTAGGTTAAATCACTACTGAAAAATGATGTACATAGATACTGTATTAAGAATGAAACAATTATGAATTATGCCCATGTAGGGTTGTGTAATATAATGAAACAACTAATAGTTATATACTCTTAACTATAAAAATGTTTAGCATTTTTTTATTCACCTGGCAGTGGATGTCAAGTTCCTACTTACACAGTTCTGTATAAAGTAACAGTATTCCCCCACCCCCACCACAACCCACCCATAATCTTGAAAATCAGGTTACTCTTAAAGTGAAAATGAAAAGACTTCTTAGCCATTGAAGAAACCCACCCAAAGACATTGTCTCTAAATGTGTATAAATACCTAGGAACACTCAGGCCCAATCAATGTCTCCAGCAAACATCATCAAATCTACACTAATAAAAGACAAACATGCAAATTGACCATACCTTTGCTATGCCTGAAGCCACGCCCACCAGCCAATCAGAACAACTATATGCAAATTAACCCAACTAAGATGGCGGCCAGCAGCCACGGAGCTGGAGCAAGCAGGAGGCTTGGTTGCCTCAATGATGGAAGAAGCCAAGCTTCCCGCTTGCCGCATCCCCGGCTCTGAGCTCCACTTAAAGCAACAAAGTTTCAATTATAGAAGGTAAATAAACCCCAGATACTTGCTTTCAGCTGGCCGTGGCCACGGAGCTAGAGTGAGCAGGAGGCTTCCCTCCTGCCTGCCCTGGCTGGCTCTGAGCTCCTCTCAAGGCTACAAAGTTTCAATGATAGAAGGTAAATAAATCCCAGAATAAAAAAAGAAAAAGAAAAAAAGGAGAGGCTGGGAGCTTCTGTTGCTAGGGGGCTTGGCCAGTCTGAAAACGGCCCTCAGCCCCTCACCCAGACTGGCCAGGCACCCCAGTGGGGACCCCAACCCTGAAGGGGGTGTGACCAGCTGCAAACAGCCATCAGCCCCTCACCCAGGCCGGCCAGGCACCCCAGTAGGGACCCCCACCCTGAAGGGGGTGTGACCAGCCTGCAAACACCCATCAGCCCCTCACTCAGGCTGGCCAGGCACCCCAGCAGGACCCCCACCCTGATCCAGGAAACCCTTCAGGGCAAACCAGCTGTCCCCCACCCGTGCACTAGGCCTCTATCCTCCTTCTATATAATAAAAGGGTAATATGCAAACTGACCCTAACAGCAGAAAGACTGGGAATGACTGATCACTATGACACACACTGACCACCAGGGGGCAGATGCTCAATGCAGGAGCTGATCCCTGGTGGTCAGTGCGCTCCCACAGGGGGAGCTCTGCTCAGCCACAAGCCAGGCTGATGGCTGCCAATACACCGGTGGTGGTAGGAGCCTCTCCCTTCTCCTCAGCAGTGCTAAGGATGTCCAACTGCAGCTTAGGCCTGCTCCCCGCTGGCAAGTGGACATCCCCTGAGGGCTCCCGGGCTGCCAGAGTGATGTCTGACTGCCACCTTAGTCCCAATTCCCCAGGGAGCAGCCCTAAACCAGCCGGTGGTCATCCCCCAAGGGGTCCCAGACTGTGAGAGGGCACAGGCCAGGCTGAGGGACCCCCCCACCCGAGTGCATAAATTTTTGTGCACCGGGCCTCTAGTGTAAAAGATAACTAAAGTCTAATATATTGTCTGATAAATCAGGTTCTCAAGAAGTAAGAGAAGGAAGATCATTTATGTGTGGATTCTGAAAAGAGGAGCCCAAAAAATGATCTTTTACTGTGTTTATGTCACTTACCCGTCAGTACCAAAATGAGTGAGCAGTAAACCTGCAGATGTTTAGTGGTGTCATAACAAAGTGTCTCAAGGAGACTCCATTTAGCATCCACTGCTCACTGGAATGCTGAGAGTGGCAGAGGAAATGTAGCAGCCAAAGAAAACGTATGCACAAACTATTCAGGTTGGAGAGGAAAGGAGTTTCAATATCACAAAACCAGGCACAATATATTTTAGAGCACATGCTGAAGAAAAGCAAAAGCTATAGAAAATAAAGCCTGCAATTCAACAAATAGGTAAGCAAAATATAGGACCAAGCTACGAACAGGAGGACTCTGGGACAAATCCCATCTGCAGAAGTATTTGGCTTGTACATAGTTTGAGAATAATAATAATAAGAAGAATAAGAATAATGGCAACTTAGTTGAAAAATATTTAAATTTTAAAACTTTCACATGAAAACTTGCATTTCCTGCTTTACCTGATCAACTGGACAAAGTGGCATCACTAGGTTAACATTCCTGCCTTGCAACAATTATCTGGACCAGAGCAGCGGCTGCTCCTTCAGAAAGAACTTGGCTCTCCAGGTCACTGCTGTGGCTTCCTGCTTCATTCCCACCAGACTGGCCTCTGTAGGCACTTGGGTTTCCAAACTCTGGAACAGAAAGGACCTTGAGGTAAGGCTTGAAAGACTCACTTTAGCCTTTGACAAGAGGTATAACTTTTTTTTTTCCAATGGCAATTTAACCTTCACATCATAGTTTCTTCACAAAGATAAGGATGAACTAGTGGATCATCAGGCATTACTCTATGTGCTGGAGCACCAGCAAGCCAGCTAGAACCACAAGCACACTTTAACTTTCTTAATGAAACCAAGTTGACCCTGAGACAGTGATGATTCTTCAATTAGAGGAAGTAGAGGGGACAGAAAACTTGTCCAACTTCAATGCTCCATTTTTCCTTCTTTCTTAGCACCATCATCAGCAAAACCACATTATCATTAACTTAGGAACTCATCTTGGGATCAAAGAATTAAGGAACCAAAATGTACATCACCATTATTAAGAGTTAGAAAATGTCACTGTTTTATTTTCTGACTTTTAAAATTATTTTCTTTTAGCAAATAAAAAATAATTTTGTAAGGGCTTTCAAAAGTGTGCTTGAGACCTTGCTACCCCTTAGTCTATTATCTCTGGTCAGCCATCAGGGACACACTGACAAGCTCCTCCTCAGTCTGGGTAAAATAATCCTTGCGACAGTCTAACTCAGTGGTTCTCAACCTGTGGGTTGCGACCCCTTTGGCAATCGAACGACCCTTTCACAGGAGTCGCCTAAGACCATCCTGCATATCAGATATTTACATTACGATTCATAACAGAAGCAACATTACAGTTATGAAGTAGCAACGAAAATAATTTTATGGTTGGGTCACAACATGAGGAACTGTATTTAAAGGGCCAGAAGGTTGAGAACCACTGGTCTAACTCACCTTGTTCTGTTTCTAAGATCATTGAACAACCTTTTGACTATTTGTTGGATTTCCTAGAGGCTTTGATATCATTAAGTTAGTGACTTGTATACCACGAATATGTATTTCACTCAGTGAAAACAAACAAATAAACAGGTCATCTGGCTTGTAAATTAATTTCTTGTAAATATCGATGGTATTCAGGGGTGGGCAAACTTTTTGACTCGAGGGCCACAATGGGTTCTTAAACTGGACCGGAGGGCCGGAACAAAAGCATGGATGGAGTGTTTGTGTGAACTAATATAAATTCAAAGTAAACATCATTACATAAAAGGGTACGGTCTTTTTCTTTTTAGTTTTATTCATTTCAAATGGGCCGGATCCGGCCCGCAGGCCGTAGTTTGCCCACGGCTGGAGATGGTCTGTGTTAGACCCTAGAGCCCCATCACCCTTGAGACCAAAGGCAAAAACAATTCTTTAAATTGGAAGAGTAAGTATAAGTACCACATCCTGGACCATAGTTACTTCACAGGGTGCTCCTCTACTTTTGAGGTCTTTCCTGATAACCAGCCCACTTTCTCTTTTTTATTTTAGGCCAAAGGAGGACATGGGAATGTGGTGGACGTGGTGTAACAGCATGCTTGAGCACTGAGATTCTTCATAAGAGACAAAGGAGCAAGTAAGGGATATGGGACCATGGTTAAGTAATTATGTTTCTATAATCCTGATATACTAAAGGCACTTCAGGCATTATATTTAATGTTTTAAGTATTTATTGGGCAACTACATGTGAGGCACTGAATGGATAGTAGAGACCCAAACATAAAGAGAACACAGTCCCATCTTAAGGAGCTTACTGCCTGGGAGGTGCAGGGTGGGCAGTCAGGTGAACAGGTAATTACAACATTAAATGATACTGGCTATGACAGGGGCTAAGTACGGAGTGCTAAAGGAGCACAAAAAAGAGCTAGTCTGGATTTGGGGAATCAGGTTAGGGTGTCAGCATACATGTAAGGATGCACAGAGATTAGAAAGTCAAAGAAAGGTGGGTAAGAGACCTGAAACTTTACCTAATCCATGCAAATGGTCTTAACTCCAAAACATTAATGTTGAAGGCTTTACATTCTGTCTGGTAATAACAACTCCAATATTGTACTCATTTTTAGCTGGTAAGCAAGCATAAAGGTCTCATTTTTGTCAGAACTTTTAACCTTGGGATGTGATAAGTCATGAAGCATTAATGAATATTTTCCACAGAAAGATCTGGATGCCGGCCTAATGCCTGAAATAGAATGATGGCCTGACATCTGGATAATCAAATATTGTTTTCTAGAACATTATAAAAAACAATGATTCATTTCAATAACAAATATTAGAAGTAAATGCGTTGGAAGCAGAAGCTAAAAGGAGCAAGATATGGATGAGGAGTCTTAGCCTCTAGAGTAGTTCTTAACTGTTTGGAGGTACGTCCTTTAATAAAAGAAGTCCCTAAGATGATTATTGAGCTAAAGTTATTTTAGCCACGTACGTGAATAATATTAGCTGACAATTATCTTACCATCTTTTGGAAACTCTGCTGAACACTTTATACAGTCATTAACTCATTTAATCCCTGTTGTAACTGTAGAAGTACTATTATTTTTTTCTTTTCTAGAATTAAGGAAACTGAGGCGAGAGAAATTAAGTAGACTGACCTTCTCTTTTCCTCTTTGATAATTTACATAGCCCTTTTCTGCTTTACTATTTCCCCTTAGTATGTATCACTAACATATTACATATTTTACTGTTTGTTACTGCCTGTCTCTTCTGACAAAAATGTAAACTCTGTGAGTCCATGGATTTATTAGTCATCATAACAGACAAAAAAATCTACTATTTTTTGTTTTGTATTACAAGTTTCTATTTCTAATAGCACAAAGTACAGAGCCTTACACATGTTGCAGCCAAAAATATCTGAGTGAAGGAAGGGAACACTTAGTGAGCAAGCATGCACTGAGCCCTGGCCATGCTCGGCACTGCACACATCACCATGGGGTTGGGAAGTACAAATACATCAGTGTTCTCAAAGACCTTAACATTTAGGGGCAGAAATTGGTAGAAGCACGAGGAATACCTATACAGAATAAGAAGTTCAGACATTTCCTTACTTCCATTCTTCAATTGTCTAATTGTTCACTCACCACTCCTCCTAAGACACCCTAGTTAGTTAGGAACCTGTTGCGTTAAACTTTCTTGGAAATGCTAGAACCACTCACACTTCTATGCTTATACATGTGTTGTTTCCTGGGCTTCAAAAGAATTCCTCCCACTTTCTTAATGCAACTTACCGGTCCTCAACTAAACCCCAGGGCCAGGTCCTCGGTGAAGCCCCCTCTAGCCCCCTGCTTAGAGTTGCTTGTTCATTCCTCTCATTCTACAGTGCTGTTTACATAAAGGTAACAGCACCTACCACACACATTCCTTGTTTCATACATCTTTGTGCTTGTGGTTGCCAAACACATTTACAGGTTCATGGTATGCAGAGTGCTTTGAGTTAAATTATTTGTTTTTCTCACCTTTCAAAATATTAAAGAACGTTTTTACTCCCCTGAAACATAGCCATAAACAGAAAGGCTCTTGTTAGTAATATATTAAAACCACCCAGTGATACAATTACTAATTGCAGGTGTGCATTCAACCAAAATTAAATAGAGGCTGAATAGAATCACATTTCTTATTTTATTTTCAGCACAACTTTTAGATTCAGAGATGGTATCCTGTGCCTACAAGAGTGCCTAGCACCCAGAAAATTTCCTGTTGCATAAATAAATAAATGATGTATACAGACCATGTCATTAAATGCTAAATGGAATGACATAAACTAAATGTACTATAGGAACTCAGAGATGAGGTAACAAATAATAGAGAGAACAGTGAACTAAGTATTAGGAACTTTGGCAACTACAGTTTTCTAGCTGTATAACTTTGAGCAAGACAGTTAAACTGACCTTTAATTTTTCAATTTGTAAAACTAATGGATTGGGCCAGATCAGTGGTTTTGATGTTATTTACTAGGTGTATCAGTTAATAATGCTTATTTTGTAATCAAAGAAAATATGATAATTTCAAGAGAAACATCAAAAGTGCTTTATTCAGAGTAATGTCCATCGCTAGCTACTAGTAATTGTAGATCTCTTGTCTAATAAACTCTAAATAGAATCTCCATTATATACAACAGAAAAAGATTTGTTAGTAATAAGTCATTTTATAAGACCAAATTATAATGCTACTTATCAAAATCCATCAATAAAAACAACAAGTGATTGACTAATAAAAATATGAAATCAAGGGATAGGGGTAATAGCTCCAATTTTAAATCATCATCAACATATTTCTGTACTTTGTTTCGGCTTTATAATATTGAGACAATTCTCAATACTAGAAAAGCAATTGAAAATGGCAACTTTTAAAAATAGCTAATTTGGTTTGGGCAATATTAAGATTTTTGCTATTAAAATAGTCCAGAAGCTTGAAGGAAGAATAAAAAAAAATCTTGTTTCCATATTGAGTGATTATATCTAATTATTACTCATGTTTCTGGTCATGAATGTAAAATTTTATTTTATATGGGCAAGAACTAACCAAAACTTAAATTAAGCAAGAAAACTTTCTCTAATATAAAGTTATCACATTAACTTGCCATTGCAAGCCTGGGAAGGAGGGATACGAGTGCGTGCAGGATGCTGCTCCTGCATCTTGTTTGTGTTTATTCATCAGAACACACACATGCTGCAGCCGGGCTCTGGCTTGTGTCATTTGATTTGGATATATAATAATGGACTCAAGTTTTTGTTGTTGGTGGTGTTGTTGTTAATCTTCAGCTGAGGACATTTTTCCACTGATTTTTAGAGAGAGTGGAAGGGAGGGGGAGAGACAGAGAGACAGACGCACATCGATTGGTTGCCTCCCACAGGAGCAGCAACCAGGGCCAGGGATCGAGCCTGCAAGTGAGGTATGTGCCCTTGACCAGAACTGAACCCAGAACCCTTCAGTCTGCAGGATGACGCTCTATCTACTGTGCCAAACTGGCTAGAACAATGAACTCAAGTTTTTTAAAAGCCCAGCTAAAAACATAAATATAAAAATGCATACTCATAAAAAGTTCAAATATCTCCAGAAAAATCAGTAGCAAAGGTTTAGTCAGTAGT